TTTTTTTTTTTTGGTATCTGGTCTCAACCATAGACCAGGGGGGTCCGGCGTTTTGGGAACGCCGGACCCCCATGAGCAAAAAATTCCGACCGGATTTTGGCAAAAAAAGTCAGTTTTGATTTTGTTCAAAAAATATAATATGTCCGTTTTGACGAAATGGCTGTTCCTCCTCCTGGCGGTTATACGGGCCTATCCTGAGGCCGTCAGTATTCAGGACCACGACATAGGGCTAACCCCTTTGATACAACATTCGATTGATACCGGGGAACACGTCCCGATACACTGCCGATCGTACCGATATTCCCTTAAAGAAAGACAGTTGGCCTTGGAAAGGGTACGGGAATTCGAGCGGTTGGGGTGGGTCGAACCATCGCTGGGACCGTGGTCATTTCCCGTGGTCCTTGTGCCAAAATGAATTGATTCGGTCCGGGTATGTATCGACTACCGGAAATTGAACGCCATCACTACCAAAGTTGTGTATCCCTTGCCGCGAATCGATGATTTGTTAGATGCCATCAGGGCCGCTCGAGTCTTTTCCAAGTTCGATATCCGACACGGTTTCCACCACGTCGCAGTCCGACCGGAGGACCGACCCAAAACCGCTTTTGTCCTATTCGAGGGCACGTGGCAATGGGTTCGGTGTCCCATGGGAATTTGCAACGCCCCGGCAACGTTTCAGCGGGCCATGAATATGGCCTTCGCTGAGTTCGTTAACAAAACCCGACTAACCTAGCCCCTGATCAATTTCTGCGTGATTGTGTATATGGATGATATTTTGGTCTTTTCGAAAACACACGAGTACCACGTGGAACACATCGAGTGGGTTTTGCATGCACTGAAAGATGTCGGGTTCAAAGTGGCCTTGGAGAAAAGCGAGTTCTTCTTGTCGGAGATTTCATTCTTGGGGTATATCGTCACGGTCGACGGGCTAAAACCGGATCCGAGGAAGGTGGCAGCAGTTCAAGACGCCCCGGCGCCGGTCACACTCACCCAGGTTCGGGCTTTTCTGGGGATGGCATCCTATTACCGACGCTTCATCAAGGGGTTCGCCGGTATAGCGAAGCCCCTCACGAACCTGCTGAAGAAAGAGGAACAACAAATCTGGACGCCGGAATGCGAGGCAAGGTTTCAGGCGTTGAAGGAGGCTCTGACATCTGCTCCTGTGTTGGCGCGTCCCGACCCGACAAGACCGTTCGCACTGTACACGGACTGGCAGCCTCAGGCGATATCGGCAGTGCTGACTCAGCACGGGAAGGACGGAAGGGAGCACGTCATTGAGTATGCGTCCAAGACGCTGAGCCAGGTGCAGGCTAATTACGAAGCATGCAAAGGTGAATGCCTGGCGGTGGTGTGGGGGATTCAGCACTTCCGACCGTATCTGTACGCCAGAAATTCGTGCTGGTGACGGATCATCAGCCGCTGCTGTCCCTACGCAACAACACGGACTACACGGGGACGCTGGGCAGGTGGGCGGTGCGTTTGCAAGACTATGACTTCGACATCCGCCATCGCACCACGCGGCAGCATGGTAACGCCGATGGATTAACGCGCCTCCTGCCGCCCAACAAGTGTCCCGCCAACGAGCGACTCATTCTGTGGAGGCCAGAAGTCGCGGAGGCGAAACCACACTACGGGGAGCTATACGTGCTGCGTAAGGACGACGCCTGAGTCCGGAATGGAGGTTTCATCGGAGATGGCCGACACTATCTCTCAGCCCTCATCCCACTCCCTCACTCTCTCATCTAGCCCCAACTCGTCTTCTGAAATGCACCTAAGTCCCTGTTTCTTTTGTACCTTACCAATGATCCCGGGCCAAGAAGGGTCACATCCGGGAGGGCCCAGTTTTCTTTTATGGGTACAGTGTAGTCAGTGTCATACGGTCAAGTCTCACGGACAGTGCGTTAGGTACCGATGTGAAAAGACGTGGGTCTGTCCCAACTGTAGAACGGACCAAGTGCCTACCGAGAAGCGGTATCTGAACGCTAGAACAGCAGACGGATTTGCGCCGAGTGCCCGCCGGGCAGAGGCCTGAACGAACCTTCTGTTGCTACGAAGACTGTCAGGCGACTCGCCGTCAGAACTTACCAAAGTCGAACGGCGGAGAGTCACGAAGCGGGCGCAAGACTATCGCTGGCAGGGCCCGACATTACAAAAACGGAAGGTCGATGACGACGAAGAGTCTAGCTGGTTGACGGTTCCACACCCTCTTGCTAGGTTCGATTGGACACGAGCCGCTCATGAGGAGGATGCGGTCCATTTTGCGGTCAAGTACACGGAAAAAGCCATCGAAAGGAACGGATGGTACTGGTCGGGAATTCGGAAAGATGTGAAATACATCGTTCAGAATTGCCCGGCCTGCGCGGTGGACAAGACGCCTGTACAGATGCCTCGAACGATGGTGCCCACTCGTGTAGAGCGCCCCTTTCAGAGGGTTAGCATCGATACGACGGACATCAACGTTCCGAGAGGGTCCGTCGATCAGGGAGAACTCAATGTTCTTTTAGTGGTCGTCGATCATTTTTCAAAACGGATCGAGGCGTACCCTATGACCAGCCGGAATTCGCAGGAAGTAGCCTGGTACGTAAATCGATTTTTGTGCATGCATCTAGACGTAGAAGAAATACACATGGACAATGGGTCGGAATTTCAAGGCGAAGTAGCACGTCACCTAGTCAGGGCAGACGTTAAGATTATCTACTCACCGGGCATTGGCCTCAAGCCAATGGCCTGGTAGAGAATGCCAACCGACTAATTAAGACGGCCCTTAGACGGAATATCACTGCGGGAGATACCTGACCCTGGCCGGTCATTGTGGATCACATTTTGGCCGTATATCGGCCTACCCCACACGGTAGTACTGGGGTGTCCCCCTTTCAACTGAGAACCAATAGTGTCCCTCGGGTGCAATCGTCCCCCTTAGTGGGTACAAAAGTTAGAGCAAAACGGGCCCAGAATCGAGACAAGGCCAACCACTACCTGGACTTAATGGCTAGGGCCTATCCCCCGTTAGCTCGCCGTCGACAGCAGGTCGTAGATCGGATGCATCAACGGCAGATCCGGGACTACGAGAACCGACACGCGTCGGCGGGACCACTGCCCCGCTATAAAGTTGGGGACTTGGTACAGGTACGAAAATCTGCGCGCTCCTCCAAGATCCACCCGCGCTACACAGGCATTTACGAGGTCACGGAAGTTGGCGCACAGGGACAGCACTCCGTAAAGCTGATTCCCCGTCGCAACTCCCAGGCCCGACCGCTGACACGGCACGCTGCCGCGATCCGGCCCTTCCAGCCATCGCTAGGTCCCCTACGGACCCCTGCTCCTACGCGATCACCTTCTCCTTCTTCATCCTCCTCCTCTTCTCGATCTGCCTCGTCCATTGGTGCTGAGAGTTCCGGGGAGCAGGATGAACCATCGCCAGCCGGAGCATGAGCCCCTCGAGCACTTCCAGACGCCGCTTGCAGATCGCTTGTTGCGGCATCGGATTAACGAGGAGAGGCAGTTGCGGTACGACATCCAACAGGTGAACGTGCCAGCGCCCGGGGTTGCTGATCTGGCGGCATACTCGTTGCTTTGCGATCGGCTGACATATGCGGGGGTGTACGTGGACGTGACGCAGTTGCCTGGTCGGGAGATGACCCTGGTATTCATTAAGTTTCGTGCGCTCCAGGTGGCACCCAATTTCATGCACAGCGTCGCCACCTTCATTGGAGACTTGACGATCCTCCAGCAGGAGAATCGGGAGCCGACGCGCAGCTTTGTGCGCGAGTATGCGGTAGAAGCGGCCAGATTAGTGGCCAGAGTGCATGGACGGAGCGGGCACCGATTCACAGCCCACGAAGTGCTGCTGCGTAGGGCAGAAGACGGACCGATCGCGCTGGTGCCGCAGCTCCCCGCGCTTCTCCCTCCCGCTGCCCCCCCTCAACCTCCAAGCTATTCCCCCTGCCCCGTACTAAACGCCTCCTTTCTTCTCCTACACCACCCTCCCCTACCAGCTCACGGCCGGCCCTTACCCCATGCGCGAGTTCTCGGAGTACCTGGTGGAGCTAACTGACGTGGAGCCGCTGCCCTTCGCCGACGAGGACGCGTGGGAGTTGCACCGTGCGCTGTACAAGTCGGCGGCGCTGGGGATGTTCCGGTTCTTCGTGGATCACAAAGACCACGCTATCGGTGAGCACTTCGTCGTTTACTACGTCATCACGCGACCCAAGCCAGCGGAGAAGGAAGGGACGGTCGCGCTGTACCCATTCGCCCAGCTCCAGACGATCGATCCGGGATTTTTGGAGCTCATACATCTTGAGCTCCTCTCCATCGCGCAAGTGATCGCGAGCGAGGAGGAGGAGATCCAACCGCGACTGCGGACGGCGACGGCCCCGCGGAGAACGTACAATGCGGTCGTCATCCCGGATTACATTGCGCAGCGCACGGAGAGATTGGACAACTTCCCGGAGGAAAGGCCGTTGCGTCCTCCCTCATCGTACTCTCAGCCAGCGCCACCGAAGGCCCCCAAGAAGACGCCGAAGAGGAAGAGACGCCACCCGTCGCCAGGAGTGCAAGGAAGCAGGATCGGAGGCGGCGAGGAAGTGATTCAGCCCGCGCGCGCGGCGACGCTCGTTAAGGAGACTATCGTGCCATTGCCGCCCATTCCGCGTGTGCCCGACCTCAATCTTGATGGAGTCGGGCCATCATCAACAGCAGCAGCCGGAGGGGGAAGCCGAATGGGATTTCCGGATCCCATATCCAGACCCCCCGTCCTCACGGGACCTCTCCGTTCCCGCCAACCACCCCGGGGTGCCCCGGTCATTGACCTTAGTAGTTCATCCGAGCCGGACGGTCCCTCCGACCGAGGTGGAGTTCATGGTGGAGCCCGCCACCATTAGGCTCGAGGCCATCGCGGGGGCGCCGCGCCCTGATCCGGCGTGGGAACCATACCTGACGCCCCCTTTTCAAGGGTGTATTGCGGCGCGATTGGCTGGGACGCTCATCTACGAGACTGGGCAGCGTCCCAATGCGGTGTACCACTTCCTGGTCTTCGCGGCGCAGAAGCGAGAGCGGCRGCCTTATAYCGAGACKCATGTGGTAATGACGGGTCGAGGGCCCCGATCGGTGCGCAAGCAGGTGGTGCGAGCGGTGGCGGATCTGGCGCCACGTGTCCTCTCTCATGTGCCGGGGGCTTTCCTTTACCCCTCCTTCGTCCAGCATCATCTCCGTGAGGAAGATGCGCCGACGACTCCTGCGGCAATGGCCGCCTTTCTTCCACCTATTCCGCCCCCTCTCAATCCTGACATAGATCACTTCATCTGATCATCTTCGTCTACCTCTCCCCCGTCCTCTCCTTCTCCTTCTCTTCTTCTTCTCTTCCGGATCTAAAGCTCGCGCGACAATACGCGCTCTATATTAAAAAAAAAAAAAAAAAAAAAAAAAACTTTACGATCGGGCCAGCTGCCGATGAAGAGGCCGCCCGATCGAATGTATACTATGGGAGGAGGTGATGGAGGATGTGGGATGCATCCACGTAGATAAGGAGGAGGATCGGGCCAGCTGACGACGAAGAGGCCGTCCGATCATCCAAGATATGATGACGTTAGCAGTCAGGAGACTGCTAATTTTTCGGAACCCCCTGCGTATCACAAATGTGATAAGCTCAGATCCGTACCGCGCGGCTTGCCGTATCCTTAAGGGAAAACCCCACGGAAGCCCCGAAGTACGGACGCAGATAGAAAGGGGTTTTTCTTTCTTTTTGCTTTTGTTTTCTTTTTGAAACGGCCTTTTTCATTTTGTTTGGTTAATAACTCCCGCGGGCGAATAGCGACTGCGGTATGAAAATCAAGAAACGGGTGCGGTTTGGGACTTTTTGAATTTTTGCGCGCGCGCCCAAGCTCCGATTTCTTCGCGCGTCTCGCATCTTCGTTTCGTGCTTTGCATCCTCGCGCCATCTTCCCTTCTTGCTGCGCGCATTTTCCCCATGCAGGACTCTTCGTCTTCCCCTACGCCCAGCTTGATCCTTACCCTGTCTTCTTCCGCGAAGTGATTRGCTGCGTAGTTGGGATGCTCGGATCAATGTGGAAAGCGGGAAACCGCGCACCACTTGAACGAACACYCCAATCACGTAGCYATGCAATCCCGCGGGTCGAACCCTCTARCTCCCCACCTCTCTCTCCAGTCCTGCTCCTCTGCACCCTGCGCTGCCCGCACCTCGCGTCGTTAACCCGCYGCCTCCCGCGCTATAAATTTAAGCAACCCTCTCCTCTCCCTCTCTTTGATCTCGCCTGCAATGYTGCGCGAGCTATGCGCGAGAGTCCGCGGCGCCGAACAGGCTCGACGAGCCCAAGGACGGGCGGAGTGACGACGTGGGGTGGGCCCCGCGGTAGTCTCGGGGCTAGGCAGTCGGAGGGACCGAGCAGTGGTGGGGATTGGACRTYGGTYGCGGCAGGGCCTTGTGGCTATGGTGGTCGGTGGTCTTGGGAAGTTTTTGAAGGCTGTGCCTGGRGACGGCARTCAATTGAAATTTTTGTGTCTACAAGAGGGACTCGCTTTTATCTCCATTGCTGTTTTGKCTATGAATGTCGTGTGTGTGAAGCCTCGAGCRATSGGAGCTTGTTCTGCGCATGAGTGACGTCGAAGGTCCATGGATGATTAGATGTCCTGTCGAGTGTTATTGATTGCATGCATGTATGTGTATATATACTCGTCCGGGCGGGGATGGGGAAACTGAACTGGGAAACCGTCTGCTAAGGAGTATGAGTGTGTTGATCCGGTTGTTCCCCTCCCCTCCGCGGTCKTTCCTGCGCTCTCGCACGGTCTCGGCGTAATTCACTCTCTCACTCTCTCTCTCTCCCTTCTTCCCTTCCCCGATCGCCTTCCTTGGAAWTGACAGTCATCGCTTTTCGAGCTTATCGTCCCCGTATCGGTGACGTCAACCGCCTGCGTCYGCGCGGATGGTCGACGCCCCCGCCAAGAGGAGAAASCTTAGATYTCGTCATCTCCCCTCCCCTACGCACTCACTTTTGAGAGAAAAAGTTGCGACGATTGTTGTATGGATTCGGTGTTGGTTCGGATGACTGGGAACACGGGATCTTGCCCGTGTTCATCACGTACCTCCGATCGTCTCATCTCGCTACCGACCTTCCCCATCACAGATGACGACARCATCTACTGCGATGCGGGCGTACGGCGCGCGCTGAGGCGGRCGGAGCAAGTGTGTTGGCAAGACCCGCTGCGGGCCTGTGAGATAAGGGGGRATGGGTTTGTGTTGATTGATCGTTTTGATTCCCCGACTCTGATATTGCCTTATACGGGTTTAACSGTGTTGCCCTGGTCGGCCGCTCACGACGCGTGGCGACCGCAGTTTGATTGTCGCTGGTGTCGCCAGGGGGACTCGTGCTCGTGGCGACGACTGGTCCTGGGTTACGAGGGAGCGACACGTTTCCCCGAACTTTCCCGTAGTGCGGGGGCGCTGCCCGCGCAATTTCGAATTCAGATACCGACGAGTCCTCCCGCCTCTTTACCCTCCCGGAAACTTTCGCGCGGACTCTGTGAGTCCGACGCCGCAGCCTGAAGGCCTCGAACCACCCACCTCCACAACAAAGACCCGAGGGTTCAGAGACTTTGTGAAGTCGATGATGAGGCCCGAAGGCTTCGAACCCACCACCTATCCCCCAAACCCCTGACGATCGAAGTTTTGTCTTCTGCCGCCATGGCCCTCTCCCCTTGATGCCTTTTTCCGTCACGATGCATGGCGGCAGTTCATTTTTGATTTTATCGTTTCGGAGTGATCTGGCCCCCACACGACTCCGCGGCGTCAGTTTGACTCTGCAGTCCATGGTCAGGGGCATATGTCAAAGTTGCCTGTGCACTGGACAGGGGCAAAAGCAGAAGTTCAGAGGATTTTGTCGTACCCTTGTGTTTTAGGGGTATCTGACGAAATACCCCAATATTTAGGGGCATTTCAACAATTCCTCCCCCCGACACCCCTGCTCAAAAAAAAGTCCGGATTGATTTTGTCCCAAGCCAACATCTCAATTAGGGCATATGAGTATGCCCGAAGTGGGCCGTTGCCTGGGGACAAAAGTATGCCCTGACTTGGCCGCTGCCTTGGGACAGAAGTATGCCCTGACTTGGCCGCTGCCTTGGGACAAAAGTGTGCCCTGACTTGCCCGCTGCCTTGGGACAAAAGTATGCCCTGACTTGCCCGCTGCCTTGGGACAAAAGTATGCCCTGACTTGCCCGCTGCCTTGGNGCCCTGACTTGCCCGCTGCCTTGGGACAAAAGTATGCCCTGACTTGCCCGCTGCCTTGGGACAAAAGTATGCCCTGACTTGCCCGCTGCCTTGGGGCAAATGCACTTGTGGCAGGGCTGACAGACAGCTCTGATAATACACCCGTGGCTGGGCTGTCAAGCTTGTGCAGAGCTGTTTCTGTAATATCTTTAAAGCGAAGCTGGGTAAGGCTCCCAGTCAGATTAGGTGGCCGCATGCTGGTCGGCCCAGAACGCTGCTTTTGCAGGTTAGGTTTGAATTCTAGTCCTCTTCTTTGTAGTTTGGAATTGAATGTCCAGTGTTCCATTTTGTATTGAAGGGAGGTTAGTTTTATGGGATGCTGGACCCCGTTTCCAGCTGGCCCAAGCTGGGTAATGGCCCCAGTGTTTCCTCCGGTTTGCTATGTGGAGGTTTTCCCGGCCTCCGACTTTTGATTGGAAATAAAACTGAAAAAAAAAAAAAAAATGCACTTGTGAGTGGGACGGTTTTTTTTTGTTTTTTTTTTTTTGCGGAAAGTTTTCGAAATGCCCCTCCGAAATCCATTTATTTGCGGCATGCCCCTCCGACGGCCGACTTACCCTGTCGTGCCCCTGAGGCCTCTGAAGTTTCCAGCAGGCCCCCGCCAGCGAGGGGCACAACTTTCGGGGACACCCTTACCGGACTGCTGGTCCCATTTTTGTGTTGGCTGTCTGCTGTGTCCTCCTGCCAGGGATGCATCTTCGTGAGATGCCCTTCAGCAGGGAGGCGCTAACTGTTTTTGCCGCCGCCTCAAAAAAAAGTGTTGCAATCCATGCGACCCTCCCTGCTGCAATCCACCTTGTTCGTCGCGCGCCGCTTCGCAAAAGTGAGTGTCACTCCCCATGCCCCTCGGCCTGTCGTCCTCCTGTCGTGTTTGCTTGACGTCGTGCCTCTTCTCTCTCTCTCTCACACACACACACACGTGTAGTGGTGTATATTTCCGTGTTCTAGCGGAAGATTCATTCGATTTTGCTCATCCTTTGGACGGAAGTAGCATGAGGAGTTTTTTTGGGTTTGTACTGAACGGCTATCAAGTAGGGGCATACTGGAAATTTGGAACCGGTACCGGTAGGGGCATTTGGAACATATTTCAGGCCCAAACGACGCCGGGGATTTTTCGGAGACTCGAATCATTGCAGAGGGGCACGACAGGGCAAGTCGGCCGTCGGAGGGGCATGCCGCAAATAAATGGATTTCGGAGGGGCATTTTGAAAATTTCCCCATTTTTTTTTTGTGTGTGTGTGGTCCGATGGGCCACTGATCAGAACAGATACTACGCTTGATCTTACTTGTGAGTGGGACGTAGCCTTGGGACAAAAGCCATTACGTTCTGAGTGCTGTCGGCTGCCATTACGTTCTGAGTGCTGTCAGCCTTGCAGCCCAGGTCATCATCACCCTTGCAGATACTGTAGGTGAAAGCGTCAGACATCCCTCGTTTTCTTCTTTCCCTCCCTGCCGCTCACTGTTGTACCTTCTCCGCGTTTCTCTGCGTTTCCGCATGATGGGCATCGTTATCCCTCCCTTATCTCCGTCTCGTCGGTCGTCGTATATTCGTGTGCTCGATATGTGCGAGCGTTCGTGCGTACGTGTATGTTTGTGTCGCTGTCGCTCTCGAAAGCAGGAATCTTGCATCTCCACCCTTGGAGCCCTCTCTTGTGCCTTTTGCCCCTCATATCCCCACTTTTGATCGCGTCCTCACTCGAGTTCTCGCTTGTGT